GGCAGTGAGGCTAGAAAAGAGAATGAAGTACCAGTGAATACAATGGAGCTAAGGGGACCAGGGGCTGGAGCGATAGCACAGCGGGTAGGGTAGGGCGTTCGCCTTACAAGTGGCCAACATGGCCCACCTGAGTTCAATTCCTCCGCCCCTCTCGGAGAGCCCGGCAAGCTACCGAGAGTATTCGATATGCCAGACACAGTAACAACAAAGTCTCCAATGGAGACGTTACTGGGCCCGCTCGAGCAAATCGACGATCAACGGGAGGGCCTTTACCTTTACCTTTAAGGGGACCAGAGTCACTCAGAGGCCCTGTGCACTCTCACCTGACACTCTCAGTGCTCTCAGGCTGAGGCTGAGTATTGTCCCCCGAGGCTGGTCTAGAAAACCCCTGGCAGTTCCTTCGCCAGTGTTCCCCAAATTCAAGGGTCCTGATCCCCAAATATCTGACTGGAGGCAAAAGAAGTTCAGGGGAGGGTGCTGGTCCCAGCGCACAGAGCACGTGATGCTCCTGACACCCTGAGCCTTACCCTGTGCCCACCCACTCTGGTTTCCACAGCCTACAGAGGGTTCCAGGTCATGCCCCGGGCTATCACCGGGGCTTTGTGCCACCTGAGTGTCAAAGCTGCAGGATGTGGGTGCTGCCAGCTGCCACGGCTCAGCCCTGCCTATCCCTGGGGCCCTCACTGACTTCTGCTTCTCCCCTTTGTCTGAAGGCAGCGAATTCCCAGCTTCAGTTTCTCCACTGGCCTCAAAGCCACAGAAGTCCCATTGGCCTCTGACCATTCCCTGCTCTCCTTGGCTCTCAGAGGCCACCTGTATCAACCATGTAAACATGGTCCCCCATGCAGCATGGTCCCCCAGAGCCCAGACTTTGAACTCAAGTCCACCCGAGCTTCAGTTTGAGGGCTGATCCAACGTTCAAATTCAAGTGTACCTGGGTTTAAGACCTAGAAGATTTTCCCAGTCCCTGAAAACCTCCATTTCCTTGAATGAAAACTACTTTCGAGGGAGGATGGGAGACCGCTGCCCCAGAACCCCGGGCATGAGGACCGGACGTCCTTGGTGGAGGGAGCGCCGAGGAAGAGGCAGGCAGGAGGCTGGGGAACCGGAGACCAGCTTTGGACACGCCGAGTGGAAGGGTCTCGTGTGTCCATGGAAGGCATCCAGGGGCAGCTGGACATGTGGGCCTGGAGTCAAGGGCAAGACCTTGGCTGGAGAGGAGCAGTGGAGTCTCCAGTATGTGAGGAGGGAGAATGAGCTCATGGTGGGGTGCGGGGTGCGGGTCAGAGCCCCCCACTAGGAAGAACAGCTGTCCAAGGGGGCAAGGGAGAAGCAGCAACCCGAGGAGAAAGGCGGGGTACAGGGAGGGCTGTCAGCAGAGCCAGGGCTTTGAGAAAGTCAAATCCACCGAGAGCACAGATGGGGGACTTGGGGGGTGTCCTGTTACTGGTGACCTTCAGCAAGGTCATAGGGATGGCTGAGACTGAGCCAAAGGGAGGATGGAGACGGGGGAGGTGGTGGGGAGTTGAAAGGAGGTCTGTGTTGAGGTGAAGGAGTTTAGGGGGGCAGCATGGGGAGAGACAGGGGTGCCTGCTGCCCAGAAGAGGACAGTGGTAATGGCAAGGCAACAGCACCTGGCCCACTGTAGAACCAATTCCAGGTTGTGGCCTTTGAGGAGGGGGAACAGTGGGGTCCGGCAGCCTCTGGCAGCCAGAGGGGTCCCTCTATACCCAGCCTGCAGGGTGGAGGCGCAGCTGCTGCTGTGTCTAAGCTGGACCATGAAGGAGGAAAAGGCACCAGTGGAATTCTTGGCGCAAGAACTCTGGTATGGCCAGAGGACAAAGTGTGAATTCCCGGTGACTGCCCTTAGGGCCCCCCAAAGGGAGTTCCAGATTCTGCCGTCACCCACTATGCCTTGGTCCCCTTCAGAGCGGCGGCTACCCACAGAGTCCAGCAGATGGCGCCAGTGAGCCGCTGGCCTCGGAGCGCGGCTGCACCCCGTGGCCCTCCAGAACCTGGGGCAGGCTAAGGGTCTGACTGCCAAACTCCTAATCCAGCAGGAACCGTTCCTCACACTGGACTTGGGGAGACTGAGGGATTAGGGAGTGCATGGCTCAGGGGCCCTGCTCCTTCTGGTTGCCCTTCATTCCTCTGCCCCTGCCAGGCCCTGTCTTATCTGCTGGGGATCCTGCCCTCTGCCCCCCTTCTTTTCTCTTCCTTGGAGGCCCCGCCAGTCCAGACTCCCAGTTCTGGTAGAGGCTGGTTCTCTGCCCCGGGCAGACACGACCTGGCACCAGGCCTCAGACAGGGCTGGGCCAGCCCCTCCCAGCCACAACTGCTCCAACCACCTTCTTTCTACTTCCAGAACATCACCTGATAAGTAAGACAGACGTATGGGGCCAGGGCTGGAGCCCAGAGCCTGGAAAGGACAGTCAGCTCTCAGCCCAGGAAGTAAGATGAAGGGGTTGGGGGGGGAGCAGGGGAGCAGTTTACATAAAATACACATATATGTATTTTATGTATAATATATAATACATAAAATACATATATCGCTCCACAGTGGTAGGGCGTTTGCCTTGCACGTGGCCCACACGGCCAACCCGAGTTCGATTCCTCTGCCCCTCTCAGAGAGCCTGGCAGGCTACTGAGCGTATCTCGCCCGCACGGCAAAGCCTGGCAAGCTACCTGTGATGTAACTGACATGCCAAACACAGTAACAACAAGTCTCATAATGGAGACGTTACTGGACCCACTCGAGCAAATTGATGAACAACCGGAGGCTAGTGCTTCATATGCACATATATGGCTCCTTGAGACTCATGGGTCTGTGCAAGGTGGCACAGTGTACCAGAAGCTTAAAGCTCAAAAGATTCCCAACCCCCCCCACAAGCTTATCATTTTGTATTCCACAACCAAAGGCGATTCCTGAGGTCCCCACTCTGCCACTCAGTACGAAGCAGAGCAAGGAGGGTGAGCCACGCTTGCTTCTCCAGCTCTCGCCTTGCTATCTGGTTTTCACCTCCCAGTACAGACTTCTGCTCTGGCAAGAGCTCTCAAGCTGTGTGGCCTGGCCTGGACCTTCCTTCCTCTCCCCAGCAGCAAGGGGAAGGCCTAAAGAGCCTGAAGCAGGAGAGACCAAAGCAGGATACTCAGGAGGGTGAGAAGAGCTGGTGAGGGGGGACGAGATCAGGAGCCACACCAGGGGCCCCTGGGGCCCCAGCCAGAGCTGCAAACCAACAGTAATCTGAAGGTTTTGGAGAATGAATGCGTGTCCAGTTTCCAAAGGATGACCCTCACTGGGGGGAAGAGAATCACTAGAAGCACACGAAAATAAGCTCACGTGCATGCCTGGGGTCATGGAACAAGCTTGGTCCCTTCTCTCCAGCCCAGTGGTTATCACGTTCGCTTCACGGGATACGGGCACGGGCACCCAAGGTCAGACACACACACCCCCTGCCAGTGAGGGCCACCTACTGAAGGGTTGGACAGGGTGGGGCCCGGAGTCTCTGGACAGGAAGGAATCGATTCTTTCACCCAGGGCCTCTGCCTTTACTCAGCCTCCCAGCCACCAACCCGGGGTCCCACCAGGGGGCCACCCACAGCCCACTGGGGGAAAGGGAGGGACAGAGAAAAGGAGGGACTATTTCCATGAAGCCCGGGTCCAGATCTGGGTACCCCAGCTAGAGAAGGGGCAACAAGACACGCAGTCCCCTTGATCTCCCAGGACCTAGATAGGGCTTGCAGGAGGCACCGGGCCAGGCCTCAAGGCGCACAGGAAGCAGGGACCCATCCCGCGGGAGCTGCACCTACTCCCCTCAGCCCAGAGCCTGGCAGCCAGGTACTGGCATCAACTCCCAGCGCCTGGCAGAGCCCTGGCATGGATGCCAAGCACAGGGTGCCAGACCCGGGGGTGGGCAGGGGCGGGGGGGGGGGCGGGAGGAGGGGATCTGGGCCACACACAAACAGGGAGCTTCATCCACACAGCTTCATCCGCACGTAAAATTGGCGCACACACTCTCACTGCGCCAATTTTATGCCCCGGAGAGGCGTGGGAGCGGAAGGGACTGCCCCCACCTCGAGGCTGCCCTCACTGACTCCCCGGCTCTCCCTGCAGGCCTGACTCCTGGAGTCCCCGGATTTGGAGGGTGGCCGGGAGGTAAGAGGAGGCCACCCGCGTCCCTTGTCCCCTTGATCGCGTCGCACCGCTCCCCCCATCCCCCATAGGCACTGGTGAGTCCCCAGGTATGGGCAAGTGAGGGGAACGGGGAAGAAAGGGCAGAGAGACCCTCCTCCGCCCCCCCTCCCCCGAGAACCCCGAAGACCGCCCTGCTGGCCCCGGATGGGTCTGCGGTGCGGGCGCGCATCCCTGCAGAGCGCGCGGGTTAGGATCCTGGAGGTCGCCGCACACCGCGCCAGGAGCTGGAGTCGGGGCGGCGCGCGCGCGCGCGCGCGTGTGCCGGCGTCGGGCGGTGAGGTTGCCCGGCTTCCCGCGCGGCTCCGGGCTGCTCGGAGACCCGTGGTGGCCCGCGTGGGCCTCAGGTGTCGTGTGCTCACCTGGGAGCGGGTGGGCGCAGGGGGGCGCGGCTGCGGGGCCACGCGGACTCCAGCACCGGCCGGCTGGTCCCCGGTGCGGCCCGCGGCGGGGCGGCTCCTGGTGGAGCAGCAACTTTGGGACTTTGTTCCGGCTTCTTCGAAAGCGGATCTGGTGGCGGGGGCGGGGCGGAGGCGGGGGGGGGGGCACCTGCCCGCCGGGGGGTGCCGGGGAGAAGTGGAGGCAGGCCCCGCCCCGCCCCGCCTCCTCCCCGCCCTCTCCCCGCCCCGGGGGCGCTTTATAAGCTCGGCCCGAGGGCGAACAGAGAAAGCGAGTGTCCCTTTCCCGCCCCCGGCCGGTGCCGTCTGCCGCTCCCCGCGCGCCCCGCGCCCAGACCCCCCGCGCCCCCTCCGCGCGCTCTCCCGCTCGGCGCCCGCCCCGTCCCGACCCCCCAGCGAGCCCCGCCGCCATGGAGCGCTGGCCCTGGCCGTCGGGCGGCGCCTGGCTGCTCGTGGCTGCCCGTGCGCTGCTGCAGCTGCTGCGCGCAGACCTGCGTCTGGGCCGCCCGCTGCTGGCGGCGCTGGCGCTGCTGGCCGCGCTCGACTGGCTGTGCCAGCGCCTGCTGCCCCCGCTGGCCGCGCTCGCCGTGCTGGCCGCCGCCGGCTGGATCGCGTTGTCCCGGCTGGCGCGCCCGCCGCGCCTGCCCGTGGCCACTCGCGCGGTGCTCATCACCGGTGAGTGCGCGCGACGCGGAGCGCGGGGCGGGGGGACTCCCAGGTTCGAGGGTGGGACGGGACACGCGGCGGGCCCCCCGCGGGCTCGCCGAGGCACGGCGGGACCCCGAGCGCGGGCGCGGGAGCGGCTCGTCCCCCCGGGGGTGCACGGGGAGCGAGCCAAGTAGGAAGCAGCGGGCGTCGCCGCGAGTCCGCCGAGCTAAGCTACCTGCGGCCGGGCTGGCTGCGGGGAGGCGAGCACGGGCCAGGAGGCAGCGGCGGGCAGGTGCGCGGTGCAAAGTCGTGGCTGAGGAGGAGGGGACCTCTTGGAGTTTGCGGTTCATGCTCGCCCTTCCCGGCGAGCGGAGTCTTCGAAGACTCGGCAAGTTCAGCGAGCCGCCGGTCCCCCCTTGAACTCTGCCGGCACCCCCACGTGGGATGCCATCACCCGCCGGCGCGGGAGGCACTCAGAAGAGGAATCAGGACCCGCCACCCTGAGGTCCAGAAGAGGTGGGGGGCCACTGTGAGAGGCAGCCGGGCACTCCGCTGCCCCTCAGAGCCCACCACGCACCCCAAACTGTGGAGGCAGCCGTCCACAGCCTGCACCCCAGCACCCCAGCCCTGGCCCTCCTGCCCAGTGCCCAGGAGGTCCTGGAGTGTGGGGCTCAGGTGCTTGGGGCCGCCTGGCGGAGCTCCCTTTGTCTGGAGCGGGGAATAAATCTGTCACCAGAAGGAGGGAAGGGGAAGGGGGGCTGAGGCCCCGCCGGAAGTGGGGAGGGGGAGAAAGGCCAGGGGCCACCGGCTCCATTGAAGGGGGAGGGGCCGGCTCATCTCTTCCCCCAAACCCCTTGGTTTGGGGCAGGTGTTCGGGTCTCTACTCTTGCTGGGGACCTGAGCTGAGGGGCTGGGACCCTAGGAACCTCAGTCCAGCATCCCCCTCCCACGCTTGCCCCCACATGGTCACATGAAGCCGGGAGAAGGTCCCGGAGGTGACCATCCTTGAACCGGGCCTCAGAGGATGAGCAGAGGGGTGGCGTGTGGAAGGTGTTTGGGATCAGACAAAGGGTGTGGGACAAAGGCTTGTGGCGGGAACAGACATGGTCTGGTCAGGGGACACTCAGTAACCAGACTGGCCACTAGGGCGTGGTGGGATGGGACGTGGTTTCTTCGGGAGGGGCCTTGAATGCCAAACAAGGGGCCAGTCTGCTGCGGGTGGAGGTGGGCGTGAGGTGGCACAAGTGGTGTGGCTTCCGCCAAGGTGAAGCAGGGGCTCCCGGGAAGGACACCCCAGTTTAAGGAGCAGCGGGAAGCCTCCGGGACTGTTTCAGGGCTTGAGGAAGAAAAACTGTAAGATGTGTGAATGAAGCAGGAACGAGGTGTTGGGGTGTGTGTGTGTAGAGGCAGCTCCCCTTCTGGAGGCTGAGTGCAAGGGGAGAGGCAGGGCCTCCTATGACTCAGTTTCCCGGGGTCTCTGGTTAGGAGGGGAAAGGTTGCTCAGCCCACCCGGGAGAGCCTCCGGGAGCCAATGGGGTTTCCTCTCGCAGGCGGAATGCAGGCAAGTGAGTGACCAGGTCCTGCCCCACCTGCCGGGAACACTAGGTCATCTTCCCGCAGGGCTGCCAGCCCCCACCCCCGCCCCACCATTGCTCCTGAGCACCACAAACCTTCTCCAGCAGCTCAGTCAGGGGCCCAAGCTTGGGCTGGGTGACTGGGTGCACCGATGGGTGCCAGAGTTTTCCCCGGCAAGTGGGAGGTCTGCACCCGAGTCTGAGCGTGCACAGGTGAGCGTGAGGGCGGGTCAGGCCTGGCGGGCCCTGGGGCCACAGCTGAGACTCTGGGAAGCCTCAGTTTCCCTGCAAAAGGTTCATCTGCTTGTGGAGGGAGGTTAGGCAAGTGGACACACACACACACACACACACATGCGCTTGCTCCCCTCCCCCAGCCCCTCTCCTCCAGGAAGGACCCCTGAGCCTCCGGGGCTGGCTGGCAGGCCCCAGACACACAAAGGCAGCCTTGCAGCCCCCTGCCCAGCTTTGTTCCCAGCCTCAGCAGAGGGGGCGGAGCTGATGGGGAGGGGGTGCTGGGGCTTCCGGTCTGCTGCCACTGCTCAGCAGGACCACCAGGGCTGGGGGCCGGGCTCCAGGAGCCCCCTCCCCCTGGCCAGCCGCCTGTGGCGCCAGGATCAGAATGGGAACAATCAAGGAAGCAGGAGCTTATCGGACCCCCACTCGGGCTCTGCCTGCCTGGGGGCTCCTCTCTGCACACAGCAGACCGGAAACTAAGCCTGGAGAATGGTAACTGACCTGAGGTCAGGCGTGGTGAGTGTGGGGAGGGGTCCAGTCGCTCCCCATCACCGTTCCAGAGCTGGGGCCCTGTGGTGGGCTCGGAGCTGCTGTGTGGAGGAGACCCAGCTTGCCTGGAGCCCGGAGGCATGGTAGGGGGTGTTGAGGCCCAGGGGTGGGAGTGGGTGTGCACTGGAGAGGGCCTGGATGGTGGAAGCAGAAGGCTTGAGCTTCATCCTGATGGCAGGGGTTGGGGGTGGGGGTGAGGAGCCTTGGAGGTTTCTAGGGGCTGAGTGAGGCTGTCGTGCTTTGGAAAGAGCCGCCTGGATGCTGAGGTAGAGAATGGCCTGAGCACCCACCGCAGGGGTGGCCGTGGTGGCAAGTGTGGTCAGGAGAGACCCCCAGGCTCCCTGAGCACCCCTCAGGAGACCCTCCAAAAGTGAGGGTAGAGAATAGATTCCCGGGTACAAGGTGAGATAGACAAAAGCCAGGGCTCTCTCCGCATCCAGGTGAGAGAAGGACGTGAGTGGAGGCCAGCAAGGGGCAGGCCGGGCACTGACCGGGCCAAGTCCTGGAGGTACTGCCTGAGTGACGTTGGGGGGCGGGCACTGCCCACGGCTAGGTCTCTGTCCTCATCAGTAAAGTGGGTCTCCACAGGCCGTGGCCAGCATGCAGGAATCAGGGCAAAGTCTCCCAGAAAAGGGCCTGGGGAAGGAGGGGGCACCACTGGCTGCTGGCGAGGGTCAGGGGCCTGAGTTGGACCCTGGTCAGCGTGTGGGGTTGTCTTGGGCTGAACCGGGCCATGGCAGGAGTTCACTGACGGTTCTGCTTGGGCCAGGCTGTGACACCGGTTTTGGCAAGGAGACGGCCAAGAAGCTGGACGCCATGGGCTTCACAGTGCTGGCCACGGTGCTGGAGTTGGAGAGCCCCGGGGCCCTGGAGCTGCGCGCCTGCTGCTCCTCGCGCCTCAAGCTGCTGCAGATGGACCTGACCAAGCCTGAGGACATCAGCCGGGTGCTGGAGTTCACCAAGACCCACACCAGCAGCACCGGTCAGGGGCGTGGGGGGGAAACCAGGCGGGCGTGAAGGTGGGGACCCAGGAGGGGGACTGGAAGGCCATCCCCAGCATCCTCCTCCTGCTCCCCGCCTGCAGGCTTGTGGGGCCTGGTCAACAATGCTGGCCACAATGATGTCGTGGCCGACGTGGAGCTGTCCCCGGTGGACACTTTCCGCAACTGCATGGAGGTGAACTTCTTTGGCACGCTCGAGCTAACCAAGGGCCTCCTGCCACTGCTGCGTCGTTCCCGGGGTCGCATTGTGACCTTGGGCAGCCCGGCAGGTGAGTTTTCCCCGCCCCCACACACCACCACCACCAAAGCAGAGCCAGAGCCAGTGGGGAGCAGGGAGACACCCCCCCCCACTCCGGCCCTGACCAAGCTGCCTGCCGCGACCCTCCTCAGGAGACATGCCGTACCCCTGCCTGGCAGCCTACGGCACCTCCAAAGCCGCCACGGTGCTGCTCATGGACACCTTCAGCAGTGAACTGCTGCCCTGGGGGGTCAAAGTCAGCGTCATCCAGCCTGGCTGCTTCAGGACAGGTGGGGACCAGGTGGAAGGGGGCGTGAGTGGGGCTGCGAAAACGGGATGGGGGGGCATGGATCAGAGAGGTGGGGAGGGGGTCGCGGCTCCCCTGCCGGCCCCACAGGACCCTGCCACGCCTTCCCCAGAGTCTGTAAGGAACGAGGGCCGCTGGGAGGAGCGCAAGGACCTGCTGCTGGCCAACATGCCGCGGGAGCTCCTGCAGGCCTATGGCAAGGACTACATCGAGCACATGCACGGCCAGTTCCTGCACTCGCTGCGCCTGGCCATATCGGACCTCAGCCCGGTCGTCGATGCCATCACCGATGCGCTGCTGGCAGCCCAGCCACGTCGCCGCTACTACCCGGGCCGCGGCTTGGGGCTCATGTACTTCATCCACCACTACCTGCCCGAGGGCCTGCGGCGTCGCTTCCTGCAGACCTTCTTCATCAACCCCTGTCTGCCGCGGGCGCTGCGCCCTGGACAGCCCGGCCTGACCCAGGCCCAGGATGCAGACCAGGACCCAGAACCAAACCCGGGCCCTCCCCCTGTGGCAACCTGGTGAGCAGCGGGCACCGGGAAACCCCACTGCTCCAGCCAAGGCGGTCCCAGGGGTCCCCGGCGGCGCCCCTCCCTGGGGCCGGAGTCCACAGGCCCCTCACTCAGCCCACGGCCAATGAATGCCCAGGCTGGGCTGGGTGAGACCAAGGCTGCTGCTTCCTGAGCCCAAACACCCTCCTGGCTGCCGGGCTCCATGTGCAACTCAGCGGGCGGCTGTGGGGGAGCCCACACAGGGCCCCGTGACTGTGGGCAGGTCCGACAGACGGTGTTGCTGCCCATAACGGAGTGACTGGGAAGATGGGGACCCCACCCTCAGGACTCCTTCTTGGCATCGGTGCCTCAGTGCTGTGATTCGAAGGGTGAACCCCGTTTCTTGAATGGCTCAAGAGTGAAGGCCCCGGCAACACGACTCCAAGCCCCTGTGCCCCAGGGAGGTGGTTTGATGTACTTGCCCAATGGCCGCTTTTCAAATAAAAGATATTTTTATTTCTCCTAGACCCAGGGAAGAGGTTGTGTGGGAAGGTGCCTGCCTGGACACTGCCGAGGATACCCCAGAGATCGGTGCGGTGCCCCAGCTCTGGGCACTGGCCTCAGCCCCTCGAAAGTTTGACATTCTGCTTGATGGCTGGGGGATGGGACGATCCCGGTCCAGGGTTTCTGAGGGCAGAGGGCCCTCCACAGGCCGGGCAGCGCTTCTAGAAGAAGGGGCTGTGGTGCTACGCCGGAGTGGCCTCTCCCCGAGGGACGCGGAGCTGCGGCGAGGCTTTACAAAGGAGACAGTGGACAGCCAGGCTTCGGGGACAGTTTATTGTCTCGGGGAGGGGGCTGATGAGCTACTTCTCCCAGGCACCCAAGGACACCGCTGCTCTGTCTGCTGGGCCACAGCACGGGTATGACCCCCAGAAGGGAGCGGAGGGACACACTGTTCCAGGGGTCCTCAGGTTAGGGAGGGACACAACAGTGACCACATGCTTCTCAGACACACCAGTGGCCATGACCGGGGCTGAGGGGCCTCCGTGCTCTGGAGGTGGGGGTTGGTCCATCCTGGGAAGGGGAGCGGGTGCTCAGCCCCTCTGCAGCCCAGGAGCAGTCTCAGAGGGGGGTGGGGGGGATGCTGGGCCGCCACGAGGACGGTGTGTCCCCCGGACCGAGGCAGCACACGCCACACACACACACACACACACACACACACACACACACACACACACCAGGGAGCCGCGGCGCTAGAAGATGGGGATGTAGTTGTCGATCTTGGCGCGGTGGCGCTGGGCGATGCACTCGGCGATCCACACGATGTTCCGACACTCCTGCTCCTTGAGCTTCACGAAGGCATAGAACACCCCGAAGTGGAACTGGTTCAGGAAGGCCAGCTTGTTCAGCTTCACCTGCGGATAGAGGCGGCTGTGGCCGTTGGCTGCGGGGCGGAGGTGGGGCCCGGGTGCCACCCTCCCGCGCCGGCAGGCCGGGCACGCACCTCATGTTCGAAGAATCTGTCCTCCAGCGTCTTGTCTCCGGGGTTGCTGCCTGCGCCCTCGAAGAGCAGCTTGTACTCCTGCGCCAGGGTGGGGTGGGGGACAGCGGGAGGGTGAGGGTGCTGCGGGCTCGGGGGTGGCTGATGCCCCCCGCCTGCCGATGCCCCAACACTCACCGGATAGTAGTCGGCCACGTTCTTGACCTGCTCGTAGTCGTCAGCCCGAGCCAGCTGGGCCAGACCCTCAGGGTAGAGCCGCCCGCAGTGCGGGAAGAGCTTGGCCCGGTCCTCCTTGGAGAGCTCGGTGCCAAAGGAGTTAATGGTGATGATGAAAGCGCGGCGGTCAGCTTCGAACTGCAGGGCACAAGTAGGCTGGTGAGTGGACAGGGCGACTCGTGGGACTAGCAGGGGCTGGAGGGCAGGCGGGCGGGCACTCACCTCCAGGATGGGGCACATGGCATCGGCCGTGGTCCCGCCCAGCAGGGTGCAGAACTTGTAGAAGGACTCCAGGTAAGCCTGTGCGGAGCAAGGGGCCTGCTCAGCCCTGGTGGGGACACTGGGGTGTCTGCCAGGCCACCCACAACCCCCCACCCCCGCCAGCCTCCCTTCCCTTCCCTGCCCTTTGATGGTGAGTCCAAACCTCATGGACCGACCAGGACAGCCTTCAAATGCTAACTGAATAGCACAGACTCAACCCATCAAGGAGGGACCGCAGTCCTGGCTGACCGACTGCTTCACAGAGCCTCAGATGGGCTAATGAGAACAGGTGACTCCCGAGGTCCAAGGTGCCCTCTGGGCTCCCCCCCCTACCCCCACCCTGTCTGAACACTTCCTCCCCTGGCCCAACTAGCTCCAAGGCATCAAACTGCCAGTGCGGGACCAGAGAGACAGAACAAGGCCAACCACAGCCCAATCCCTGGCACTGCATATGGTCCCCTGAATGCCACCAGGAGTGAACCCTGGGCACAGAGCCAGGAGCAAGCCCTGAGCACAGCCAGGTGTGGCCAGAAACACCCCCACCACCCCTACAAGCTGCACTTCCTGCTAGGGATGGTCACGGTGACCTGGGGCACTGACCCTGCGCTGCTCTTCCGCCCCAGCAAACTCCATGTGCCACACAGGAGACAGGGAAACCAGGCGCCAGGTGCTCCAAGCACATAGTTGGAACCAGCCAGGTAGGGGTGTCCTTCCCCACACCCCTCCACGTCAAGGAAGGAGGGACAGGGCTAGTGGCAACGGTCACATGGCTCAGCCAGGTGTGACGGACAGACAGGTTGTCAGTCTGCAGCCTGTCCCCGGATCACCAGCTAATGCGGGCCCCAGTGGATACCAGATGAGACCGGACCTGAGGCGGCTACTGGGTGAGAGGAAATGCAAGTTTCGGCTAGGTCAGGAGTAAGAGGACCCCAGACCCCAGTACAGAAGTTCCCCAGGAATCAGCGGGCTCGGGCAGCACAAGCAGCTGCTTGGAGGCACCTCAGTCACTCGAGAACAGTCCCATGCCTTACGCCTTCCTCGTGGCCAGCTAAACTGGACCTAGGGTTCCTGATACTCCCATCTGCCAGCCTTCTGCAGGTCAGACCTGGAGAGGGTCCCCGGAGAGGCCCACCCCAGGAGGCCCAGGCTCTGTCGGAGATTCAGGCAGCTGAAGGAATGACCTGACCCTCCAGGCCCAGTTGGAAAGGTCACCCCCCCACACACACACCTGTCCCGGGGAGCTGGCCAGCCCATGGCTGTGGCACCAGCTGCCTACCGTTCCCCCACCAGGCGGCCGAGGGTTCCACCTAATCTCCCATCTGTGGTCACTGGGCTGGGACGCCACCCGACTGGCGAGTGGGCCTGGCACGGGGCCCACAATGCTGAAGCGGTGCTCGTGAGCTGGTGCCCAGGCAGCCCTCACCAGCCGCTCCAGCTAAAACCAGTTAAATCTGGGCAGGGTGTGGGTGAGGCTGGTGGGGGACTGCCGCACCCCTCACCCAGTGTCAGGGCAGGGAACCCGGCAACGGGCCGGCGGGGCGGGCGGAAACCAGGAGCGCGCATGGCCCGGCTCTCCCTGTTAGCGGGCTGCTGACCGCCGAGAGCCCCGTGGGGCTGCTGATGCCTCTGGCACCCCTCTTCCAGCTCCCACTGGAGCTACGGGGCACTTCCTGCTGATCTCCGCTCCTGCCCACGGACCCACAGGTAACCACCAAACCTGACCTGGGGCTGGGGCACGTGTCTGTACACTAACCGCCTGGGTTTGACTCCTAGCACAGTTCAGTGTTCTGAGCACCACCAGGTGTGGTGCCCCCGTGGTCCCAGAGCCGGGGGCCACCCTGTGCTGTGCTGCCCTCTCTACCCAGGCTCCAGGACTGCCCACCCCAACTACAGAGCCTGCTCCCCCCCACCCGGGTCCCCTGAAAGCTTGCCGGTGAGCTCCGACCAGGCCAGGATGAGACCCTCACAGCCAAGAGCCAGTAGACACGGTGCTCAGGGCTCCCACACGCTTCCAGCCAGGCCATTAACCAGCCTCTGCTCGAAGCCTGGCCCCCTTGGATCCATGCTCCTGGCTGCAGTCCAGCAGGAGACCTGGCACCAGGGCCCAGTCTGTCCCAAATGACCCTTCCTTGGCTCCCAGCCCTGCCTTTAACGGCTCTGGGATGCGGCAGTGGACCTTGGCATCCCAAGCCCCCTCCAAGGGTCACTAGAGTGCGCTGCTGCCTGGCGGGAAGCAGAGGGAGTGAGGACCCAGGCCGGTAGGGACAGAGCCTTCAGGCAAGGCACCTCGGAAGGGCGGGGAAGACCTGATGGCCCTGGGCGGGTCCCTGCCTCCACCTCCCCACCCGCACACTGATCTGCCTCTCTGGCAGCGGCCCAGGTCAGGGAAGCCGGAGGGCCATGGCCTGGGTGGTGGCCCGTGACCCTCCTGGCTGCAGGGCGCGTGACGGTGCTGAGCCAGCTCTGACAGGCCAAGCGGGCACCAGCCACTCCCGCAGATCTTATCCATCCGCCTCGGGGCGCTGCGTGGCAGAGAACTTGTTGGGTGCAGCCGCGCGCCCATTGCCCAAGCCAGGAGTGAGAGGATGAGCTCCCCCTGCCCCGGCCCCCCCGGAGGGGAGCCCGTGCAGCTGTGAACCCAGCCCGGCACCCCACATAAATCACAGCCCGCCCCGCCCCGCCCGCGGGGGGCGCACCTTGTAGAGTGTGTTTCGGATGATCTCGATGTTCATCTCGTCGAGGTCCTGCTCGGAGATGCAGTCCTGGAAAAAAGCCGCTGGGGAGGGATGCAGGGGGGAGAGGTGAGGGCTGGCCCTGGAGTGGCCTAAGCACAAATCCCGCAGCGTTCAGCTGCCCCGCTGGGGCTCGAGAGGGGGCCCCCGTCACCCTCTGCACATGTGGCCCCTTTGGCTGGGGCCTGAGGGTGCCCAAGTTGGCCTGGGCTGTGGCTCTTGAAGTGGCAGAAGCATACTGGGCCCCGCACGCTGACCTGGACTTCTCCCACCCTTCCTGCTCCTAAAATTGATTTATAAAGGCGGCGGCTGGCCACAGCATGA